TCAGAGTCCTATGACGGCTTGGCCCTGACCCCAGCCCTCTCTGCTGTCTGTATTTGGGAGGGAAAAGCCACGAGATGGCACCCTTAGTCTGGAGGAAACCAAACCTCCATCTTGACATGCTGGGAATAAGGACATGGCTTGGAGGCCTGGCGGAGGGGATCTGCAGGTCTTGGCTCTTCCCATAAGCTGCTCCAGAGCACTGTGCCCTTGTGCCTTGGTCCATGCAGGAGCCACAGCAGCATTTCACTGCCTTGCTACGGGTGGCGAGGGATAACACGCACCCAAGAAGAGTTGGGTGTCCAAGGTGTGTCTCTCCCATGACCGCCATAGGCTCCCCCTTTCCCTGGGGTTATCCAGTGCCCATTGTACCCCGAGTGCAGAAGCATCATGTACCTTTTGACTGGTGGCTTCTTCTTCAGAACATCAGCCATCATCCTGCTGGTGGGAGGGACCTTGTTCCAGCCTGGGAAGAACAGAGAAACCAGAGACCTCCAGAAGAACATTAAGATGAAAAGTTTACCCCTTTCCCATGCTCACAGCCCTTTTATGAAGAACATTTGTGCTTGCTGGGCATGGCAGCAAGTGTGGAGAGGTCAGGATATGGGGATGCAGCTGAAGGGCAGAGGCTACAGTACTATTGATGCCCGTGGCCACCACACACACTGTGGCAGGAGCCAGAGTATGCCCTAGGCTTTGTGGACAGTAGGTCAGGCTGCTCCAAACCTCCCATCCCAGCAGATCCCCCTATCCCTGCACCCTGTCTCACACCTGAAAAGATCCCCGTCACCCAGCGAGCCTGCATTTCTGCTCCCACCATCACAGAGCCGGTCAGCTGGACTAAGCCGATCATGGCCAGTGTCGGCTTTTCCAGCTGGGGAGGGAAGATGCATTTATAGAGGGAACGGTTATCGGTGAAGAGGCTGCGAACAGACTCTTCGAGGAAGGGAAATGAGAAGATGTAGCCTGTGGCAAAGAGCACCACGTCGATGTTTTCTTCGATTGTCCCATCTTCAAAAACAGCAGAGCTTTCGGTGAATTCCTTCACATTTGGCTTCATCACAACGGTCCCAGAGAGGAGGCAAAATGGCAGCTCTTCATTGACAATTATCTTAAAGTTGGAGCTTTCAGGTGGAAAAGAGGACAGCAACGTTAGCATCTGGGAAGGACCCGAAACTTCTTTTGTGGCCAGAGTTTCCCTCCAATGGCTTGCTATTCCACAAATACCCCCTGAAACTAAAAATCGAGCATTTTACACCATTAAAACCAAGGAGCAAAATAGCCAGAAAACCCACCTTTTGGTGGAAGCCAAGCCATAGTTTGCATGGTTAAACCGCGAATTGAATTTCCAAAACCTGATCCTCTTTGTGAGGGCTGATGGGAGAAGCCAGTCCAGAAAGTGGTTGAAGCGGGTGGTGTTGACCATGTCGAAGGGGAAGCCGTGGTCCGAGACCCGACTGACCACCCACGTGCTGTTCCTGGCACTGAGGAACACCTGGGGAAGAAGGCAGGTCTCAGCCTCCTGCCAAGCATCTTATCGCTGGTTTGGCCCTGAATGGCAAAGCCCATCCCCTGCACTTGGGAATCGAGAGGGTTATCCTGAGGGAAGGAGGTGGTGTCCGGGTGAACCGAACAGCTCGTGATGGCTTCTACAAAGTTCCCATAGCTGCTGAATGGCCACTCCAGAGGTGGCCCAAACTCTCCAGGAATTGCAGAGCTTCTTCAATTGCTTTCAATTTCAAGTGCTATTTATCAAGAAGCCCAGTGGGCGAAGCTTCCTGCGCACATCCCGAGCCACCGGCTATTGCGGCGCCTGGCCAGGCTCGGCACCGCCACGGAGCTGTACCTTGGCAGCCACGCGGCTCAGCTCCACGGAGAGGTCACCACCAGTGTTGCCAATGCCAACCACGAGGATGCGCTTTCCCCGGAATGCCTCCATGTCTTTGTATTCCTGGCTGTGGAGGTACCGGCCTTTGAAGCGGGTCTCAATACCTAGGCAGAGAACAGGGAGAATCTCCTACCACCACATCCTCATGCCTGGACCCTCTGCTCTCCTTGCAGCTGAGAAGCCCATGGAGGGCTTGGCTCCTTGGGGTGATGCCACCCTTCTGCACCTCTCGTCTTGGTTCTGCTTTGCAAATTCTTATGCAAAGAGCCTGGCTGCAGCTTTATGAGGTGTTTTTTCCATTTCTGGGAATGCCTACAGCCATTCCCATGGGGTGAGGGTCCCACCTGCTTGACATGGGGGCTTCATGGAGCCAGCAGGCTTGCAAAGGAAAATGCAATCAAAGGATCCAGGGGTGCTGGGTGAAACCCTGGGTGGCAGCCCCAGCCCACCCCGTTACCAAGGCAGGTCTTACCTGGGAAAGAAGCCAATGGTAAGTAGGGCTCCTGGTAATGGCCAACGCAAACCATGACGGCATCAAAGACGTGTGACTCCTGGATGCCATCAGTCTCAGTGACCACGTCCCACTGGCCTGAGGTGGTGAAATCCGAGCGCTTCCTCACACTGAGAGCTGTTGTCTTGCACCAAAGCCCAACAAAAAAGCAGTCAGGGACTGTGCCGTGTTTCAGAGAAGACCTGCCTGCAAAGGGGATGCCAGGGGCAGGCTGGGTCCCCCGGGAGCTGCCTGTCACCTCTGAAGCTGTTAAATCCCACCCTGCACCTCTCCCCTGGTGATGGCATTGAGGGGGGATGTACCAGGCAGCCCACATTCAAGCAGCCTAATTTAAAACATGGAGACAAAAAGGCTGTGTTCAGGATGCAAGAGGCATGTGGTCCTCACAGGATTGCACCTGGCATTGTCCCATCCCACCTGAGCAATGCCCTGGTATCTGCAGCCACTGATGGCTCTTT